TTTTATGCCTGCATAGCATAATAAACTATTACACTGATATATTGTCTTTTATTAATTAAATTATATTAATCGTGAGATTGTCTTTCTAATGTTGTATTTATGCTTTTTGAATTTAGTGGCTACAGCGTGCGACTCTCATCCCTGAGGTCGTAGGATCGATCGCCGGCTGTGCACTAATGGACGGACTATATGCGCATTTCACATTCGCTCGTAGTGATGGAAAACATCGTGAGGAACCCGACTTGCCTTAGGCCAGGATCTCACGCCATTATCCTGCACATTTTTTTCGCAGTATACGTCTTAACGAATAAATAGTGGCGCATACAGTGTCCATAGATTCACACGTCGTTTATACGTTTAAACGAATACTCGCCGGACTTGTCAATCAAATTTAATGAACTTTAACGTATTAGGTTTGCAGTAGCATATATGGCGAATAGTCGCAGTTTTCACACACTGTTCGTTTTTACACGAATAAAAATCTACCATATGAACATTGAACCTGAAAGCTGTGTGAGCCTGGCCTTAGACTCAAAAAGTCGACGGTGTTTGTCAGACACAGAAGGCTGATCACCTACTTGCCTATTAGATTGACAAATGATCATGAAACACATACAGAAATCTGAGGCACAACCCTAAAGAAGACTGTACCGCCACTTTTTTTGTAACACAATCAACTGATTTTCTATAGAAGATATATAATATCAATGGCCAAACCTTATGAAGTTAGCCATATAATATCTACCTTTGTCTTATACAATGATTTGTAGCCTAATAAATCTTCAAAACCATCTTTTTGTGATCTATTCTTGAGTTATATTAAGTTATACGAGCCTCAATGTAAATGAAAGTTCAGTGATGCGAGTGATTGTATTTACGATGATCTTTTGACAATACATAAAATCACTGATGCGGAAGTCACCTGACCCTACGGACCCTGCAGGGTAGCCTTGATTTAAATTTTGACACAAAACCCTACGTTTTATAGCAATTATATTGAAGGCTTCCTATTATTTATTTAGTAAAAAACTATTATAGGAGCTGCCACGTTAGTTACAGGTACAAAAAAAGTTTTACATTAATCACCCCTAAACAACACAATCAACTTATACTTTATTGAACTTTTGAAATTGTAGCAATAAATATCTACGTAAAATGCATATGTCACCAGAATACAACAAAATCCGCTTATAAATTTCCTAGGAAATCCGGAATTTCCTAGGAATAGGAAAAAACCAAACGTAAAATAATAAGTAAGCGATAACCAAACGGCATGTGTGCTCTGATTGGTTGAATAAGTCCCTAACCTAACATAACCTAACCGTTAAGAATCTCACGAATGGATATCCGTTAGTATACATATTTATCACGAGACGTCACAAATTGATAAATTTACTAAAATGTTTACGTAACAATACAATTTATTTCTCGTTTAGAATCCTACGAAAGTTTACAAATTTGCGTATTTTGATATCTTCCGGTGTCACATAAAAAAACTAAAATTAAGAATACCTACTATTACATAAAAGTAAAACACTAAAATACGTTACGATACCCAAGCTGGACATATTGACGTGGAATATTTCAATCAAAAAATCAATCTTCAATCTTGGACCCCGATTTTGCTCGTGAATTATCAACTTTTAAATATACCATTCCTTCACGTAACACGTAGATGTAGCTACAGCAGCCCTGCGATTCTGTAACTCACTTTTCGAACTCACACAGCGGTTTTCGCATCGGCGGTCGCTCTGAAATCAGTCGAGAAGCAGTCATTTTGTCAGCGAAAACCGCTGTGTGAGTTCGAAAAGTGAGTTACAGAATCGCAGGGCTGTACATTAAAGGGGAATTGGTGATAGAAGAACCACCTTTAGCGGCACTGGATGAAGCATATAATATACATACCACAAAGAACGGTTCGGTGATCATTGTTACACAATTTGTTTTAACAATATTTATTAAGTCCTAAGTAAATACCTCAGTTTGGCCTTTGTTATACTCAATAAACCACAAAAATGCTTACAATTTTCCTCAGTCGTAGGGAAAAGGGAATATTAAACAAAGGAGCATCGGGAAAGATTTTATAATCATTACACGTTATCATGTTAAAAAATCCACTTTAAACTTGTTCTTAAGTAAAATTGTTACTATCATGCATAGTTCATTTCATCTAACATTACTTCTTTAGAGGTAGTCCCTTCATAAGTTTGGGTAATAAAATATATCAGATGCCATTGTCATGCCGTTGCCAATGTCGCTTGGATTCAAGCATTTTTATAAATCTATAGACAAATAAGGAGGAATTGAGGTAATGTAAATTTGACGATAAAAAATGGCTACTAAATTTTTATGGTTAAAATTAAGTTTATCGAAAAAAAACGTGTGTGTACTTATGTACACGCGTTAGAAGTTATACTTCTTTGGCATAACAAGATTAAAGAAAATACGACATGTGTAGAAAAAAACGACACTAGAAAAAACTAAAATGTTGACTAAAGCTAACTTCAGGGTGTCGATTTTTTGTGACGACTGATCACTTCATGATTTTTCCCTAACGCGCCAAAAGAAGTATATAACTTCAAAAATTTACACAAATCAAACAAAACGATATTTTGTATTTCTTTATTCATCACCCAACTTTTATCACTAAAACTAACTAGAAAGTGAATTAAATAAGTGAACACACAGCATTTTGTCAGTAAAATTTGGTACTACTATACTTTGTTAATTATGATGGAATGTACCTATAATAAGTCATACATACAATTAAACAACGCTTTATAGATCTTGTTAATATATTTCCGCTTGAATTTTGTTGATTATATTTTTTATCAAATAGGTGGGCAACCGTGCTGGACACACGTCTTATTTTTAAGATTTTTGCTTACATTAAATTTCTAAAGCTCAACAAGGATTCGAATTTCTCTGGCCCAAGAATTTACTTACTAGACATTAAATCTTGTGGGACAATTAACAAAATTCATATTGTATCTTGTAAGTGTAACTTAAGATTTCACGTATTTAGCCTAAGGGTGCGTACAGACTATGTAACATATTATATAACTTGTGTTTTATAACACGTCCACATTATGTAACCTTGTTATTTAACATTATAACATAAAACAATACTGTACACATTAGAATAACAATGCAATATAACAATGTTATATAACCATTTTAAATAACAAAATAAAAACAAAAAAACGTAGATGCTGGGTTCGTCCTAGCATACATATCAATAACATGTTATCATAACATGTTTTATAACATTCAGTGTCCACATTATCTGAAACATGTTGTATAGCAATGTTCTATAACATGTTATGTTATATAGTCTGTACGCACCTTTAGATATGCCGGTTTCCTTACGATATTAACCCCATACATTTTATTGTGTTCATAGATCTATTAGTTCCTTAAATTACATATAATAGAGAGACGCTTAGTGGAAATAGCCTACGGCATAAAACTTTACGTGGGCGGCGTATACAAGGACGTCTACGAAATGAAAAGAAAAATCTATTTGTAATACATATTGGAAAATAACAGATTTCGTAAGCTTATATTTACAAGTTTGCACGAGAAATTTATTGAGGAATTGAAATAATAACACCGGTACTCGGTAAATATTGAGTTTTGTGACCTCAAGTATGCGATATTGAAAGATCACAATTATTCGAATCGGAACTTTTTAAGAAGATCATTTGTTTATGCTATTATGGCATAATCTGTGCAAATTGCGCTGTCTATGATTAGCACCAACTTGACACATTGTTATCTGTTTTTAATTATTAGAAAATTAAGACTTGGGTTACAGAGTACTGGCATAAATTAAAATGCAATTTTGAAAGAAAAAATACTTTTTAACTCCTATACGAGTAAAAAATAAAATACTAATAAACCTGATACACTCTAACAGAAAGTACAATAGGCAATTTAGGAGTGGTACTTTTTTTGTATCGATAACTCTATTTACGCCGCTAATTAATAATATACCATTAGTAATTAGCGGCGCAAATCGAGTCTGTACACAGAATATTGTCCTGTCAAAGATGGCCTAAAGGTTATAAGGCCATAAACTCCAAAAAAAAAACCTGTCCAAGACTTGCGACTTACTTTGATTACTTTCAGACAACTGGGTATGGGAGTGGGTTCTTCTTTACTGTATTACAGTATTGTAGTTTACAAACTATATCGAGAAGAACTTTGAGAGATTTTGAGTGTTATAGGTCTGTTATGGCCCATTTAGATGGAGAGAGTTTCTCGTCTCGAATGTACGATTATTGAAAGAATATAAAAAAGTTTCTTCGTCTAAACATTCACACCTCTCGCTCTTCCCCTTTGGCGAGAATCGCCTCGCAATGGAAAATTTATTGTGTCCGTGTAAACAGAATTTCAAAAGCAATAATCGTATTTCGAGGTTTTGTGCCAGCTACCATGAGTGCAGTGCTTGAGGGTGTTTTAATTATTAGTACAAAAATTAATTCAACGTAAACGGAAAAAAAAATTGGGTTAAAAAATGGGTTTTTGTAAAAAAAAATTCAGTGTTCCACAAACACTCGTAACTTCTATAAAGTTAAATTAATTTAATAATATCGGCAGACCCAAAATTAAAAGGGTTTTTGGGATATTTTTGAGAACAACCCTGCTAAACTCGAATGAAACATCTCGCACTCAAAACGGTTCAAACCGATTTGTACGATACTCGCGTGAACATAAAAAAATGTCATATGAGATCGTGTTTATACTAGTCGAGTTTCTCGTAAGAATCTTCTTACTAAAATTTCGATGTGTAAACAGACGCAGGAAATTATCGCCTAGCGATAAATCCCTGGCGATTCTCGTATGACATAATCATAGGCGAGAAATTAGTTCTTGCCTGTATGTAAACATTTTGATACGATAATGCTATGGCGATTATTGCTGGTGATAGTTGCCTACGATTTCTCGCACCAAAATGTACGAGAAACTCTCCCCATCTAAATGGGCCTTTAGTCATTTTAATCGTCAAAGTAATTCTTGCTCATGACAGCACGCATCCAAGGTACGTAATTGGCAGTTCTTGTGTAGATTCCGTATTTTCCGCGTTTTCCACAGCCATCACCAAAGCTTGTTATACCCTGTAATGATAATATATGTAGTTTTTAATTTATCTGTCAAATTTGTACACACGATTTATTGCAAAACGTGTCTCAAATCACAGTCAAAAGTCTCAAACGAGAAAATTTTTGGTAATAATCTTAAGACATTTAAGTCACGTCTCGGCTAAAACGAATTAAAAATGAATACAACCTTGTTGAAATTTTAATTTTTAATGTAACCTTTGCGAGTTCTCAAAGTGAAAGAGATTGCCAAACATACAGAAATAAATTGTTTTTTACCTGTAAGTAATACCGCATAGATCTATCCCTACATAGCAATGGACCGCCAGAATCGCCTGCGCAGGAGTCGCGGCGACCGCGTCCAGCACATACCATGTTATCTGTTATAGCGTATTGCCAGTACGAACGACGACACACACCCTGCTGTATTGTTGATACCTTAAAATATAAAGAAATATTAATATTATATATTAATAGGTCATTAATTTAATTAAATGTTAAAAGAAAGTATATCTGAAATATATGCGCAATCGTAAAAACGTTTCGCAAAGTAAATTGATAAAAGTCAAAGCTATTGCTAATTTATTTCTTGCTTCTCGCCGGTCAGTTATCAGTTAAAATATATTTGTTTTACATAAACTCGTTTATTATATAGTTGTTAAAAGTTTAGTTTCCTGTAATATACACTTCTAACACTACGTCAACTCCGAACTTTGATGATTGATGACAAAAATTTAACATGACATCCTTAGGATTCCTCCGCTGACATATGATGTTCCAGCCTTGACTTTTCACACACACCAATACTATATTTCGTGCCCCCATACATAAAATGTGTAGACACAATTCTCTTTGAACGTCGGTGTAATTTGCTCCTCTGCTGCTTTCAAATTACATTTAAATTTAATATTTATATTTATTTATTCCATGTATTTTTCTTCCAGTGTCGCCACTATCTTTTAGGTCTAGGCCACATGTTTGAAATATATGTGTAGGTATCTCTTTCGTGTAAATTAGTCTTCTGTTCCTGACGACTTTTTTGGGTCTAAGGCATTTCGGTGCTCACAGTGTTTTCCTTCGCCGTACAAGCGAGTGTTAAATGCGCACATGAAAGTTCATTGATACACAGCCGGGGTTCGAACCAACGACCTCAGAGATGAGAGTCGCACTCTTAAGCCACTGGGCCAACACTGTCCAATATTTTGATTGCTGTGTTTATTTTATGTGTTGGTACTTATTATTTTATTTCTGTTTAATTTAGTTGTATTTACTCTTCCATTTATAAAAAGTTAATTAAACGAAAATTTAAAGACACATCTATCTTATCGTATTTGTGATGTGTTTGTTATATTCTCAATCAGAGTATAAATGTGACTATGCGTCATTTAAGTAATAAAGTTTTATAATACGTCTATGAATAAGACCGTTGCATGCAACGCGCCCTGGCCTAGTGAAGGCTGAATTAAAAATGTTGCCAAGTAAGTCGTATATCTAAAGGTGTCTTACATAAATATCAGTGCGTGACTAACAGGCATAGATCGGATCGCTTAAACAAGAACTTAATTTATTATGACAATCATTAAGGAATTATTACAAGTGCTACGAACATACAAGTGATTTATAGCTTTCATTATAACATTTTAGATCAGGGTTATTTCAGTAAACTTAAATTTAAAAAAATCAGTGGCGCTACAGCCTTTTTAAGTCTGGGCCTCAGGTTTCTGAATCTGTTTCATGATCATTTGACAATCTAATAGACAAATAGGCGAACAACCCCCTGTGACTAACACACGCCGTCGACTTTTTAGATCGAAGGCAAGCCGGTCCTGCCAATGTTCGAGCGAATGTTAAAAGCGCACATAGACAGAAAGTCCATTGGTGCATAGCCGGGGATCGAATTTACGATGAAAGTCGCACGCTGAAGCCACTAAGCCAACACTGCTCTTTCAGTAAACGAAAGAAATAGTTTATTATGATATTACAATTAAATTTTATAGCTGATTAATTTCAGTTTCCGTAAGTTATTTCTCTCTTAGAAATAACGTTCCCATACATGATAAATTAAACTATATAATACTCCCTAGGGTATTAAAACACTCAATCTTACGGTTAAGAAAAACATCGTGAGGAAAATGCCTTTGATCAAGAAGTGGACGGCCCGTCACCTACTTGCCTGATCACGTAACAAATAAAGACATCTGAGGCCAAGACCTAACAGGTTGTAGCCACTGGCTTATATTATATATAAAACAGTTTAAGATAAGTTAAAAAATGAAATACAAATATCGTGAATAAATTAAAAAAACAGGGAAAATAAATATACCTCGTCTTTGAAAACACGATATTAAAATGATTAATTCGCATTATGTTTAAATCCCTCTCATCATTTTTATGCCTCAAATATTATTTAATGCGTCCCTAAGGCATTTTAGATTCTTCCCAAAGTAGTACATCATCGCAAGCATTTTACCAGGTATCTTTTATCATTATTAAAGGTTAATGCTTTTATCATATTAATGGAATTAAAATTAAATTTTTATATTTATTAAGAAAAATAATGCCACAAACAGCCTACCCCTGTGAAATAAAATATATTCCGATCAGATTCAGAATGTACTCGAAAAAGGGCGATTCTGTAACTCACTTTTCGAACTCGCACAGCGGTTTTGTCGCGCTCATAAAAGTCGTGAAGCAGTCATTTTACGATTTGGCATTCTGATTAACAATAAACTACAAGCTCCCTCCTTTTCAGAATGCCAAATCGTAAAATGACTGCTTCACGAGTGATTTGAGCGCGACCGCCGCTGCGAAAACCGCTGTGCGAGTTCGATAAGTGAGTTACAAGAGAGAGAAGAGAATCGCAAGGCAGGTCGAAAGCACGCATAATGGACCAGCGTGTAAGGTGAATTATGAGAGTGGAGGGAGCGAGCTCTGTGGTACCTCATGGAGAAACAGGAATAAGAAAATCACAACTGATAATCCTGCCTAAAAAGGCACATTGAGATTTCGTATGAAGTGGAGATTTCTATTCCTTCGGGTGTTCTTAAGCTACTCTTATTTTCGAATATCATATTTTTCGAATACAAATCTCTATCCGAATTCGCTAGAACCACTTATAGTTTTATACACTTCACAAATCTTTATAATAACTTTATCAGAAGAGTATCACTTAACAGATTTATAGATATGACATGTTTTGAAAGCGATTTTTATTTAGGTTAAGTTTATTTTCTTACTTCAAGCGTCATTGGATGGTTTAAAAGACATATATGTACATATACAACATTTAATATTTTAAAACTTATTAGGTTTTCTATACTACTATTATAAAGGTAAAGCGTTTGTTTATGCATATCAATAAATATATAATCATAAATATATGTTAACAAACCTCTTTCAGGTACATTTTATATAACATAAAAACCTTCATTGAATTAAAAATATTGCTTTACATTCAACCTGTGACAAATAAAAATAATTTTTCGAATTTTAACGAGTCGGTAAATAAATCAGTACATTGTCATAACAACACTAATTAATGAAAAATGAGAAATTTTAACGTATGTACTGCATACAAATTGCATTTTATATTAACGGAAATATTTATTTTTTACTAGCTACCATAGCTTGTGAAGTAAATTTAAAATTGAATTATGAATTTAAGAAAACACAAAAACATTTGTTCGTCCGGAAATCCGGAAACGTCGCAGCGTCAGCTGTCTTAATATATTTAGTTAATTTGATTTTCATAAATTGGGACCCGAACTTATATTTATATTCGCTCATTCTTAAGTAAAGGCAGGTTAAATAATTTAAACTGTCTGACATATTACCTGTGCTTCATGTAAAATCCGAGTCCCGTGTACATCTGATGGTCGTTTTTTACCCCAGCCTAGAATGACACATGTCGTATGAGGTGCCAAGAGTTGGTGAGGGTTTGGTAAGCACGCGATACCATGACCTAGATCCTGTCTTGCTGGTGCTGGTAATCTGAAAAAAACTAATTAATTTTATTGGATTTCGTTGCTTTTTGTTACAGAACTAATATTATTTATCCAATATAAATGCTAAACTCTAGCCGGTATTGTATAAGCCGGTTTCTGAACGTAAAATACTAATGCTGTAAACATACTAGTGAAACTGTTGATGTGATTTTAATAATTAAACAGGAAGGAGCTTGACCTAAAAGAGCTCAATAGAACATTTAAAGACAGCCTTTTTATTCAAAAGACATACATAGTAGGTAAATCAATATTTAATATCTGAAGTCACCATCTCATTAATACAGATACCGGCAAACTTCTTGAGCATTAAACAAGGGAGTGGGGGAAAGTTTGCGAAGCCCGGGACACAAACGTCTACTGATTTACCAATCACGCGATCGACACGTCACTCTCCCGCCGCCGCGCACCACCGAACGCCTCCCAGTAATACCTAAAAATCACTTCTGCGCAAGAACATTTGTTCAAGATGTTTGCCGGTAATTGTACTAATTTAATAAAAATGGATTGACAGATCTTCAGACTATATTTAAGATAATTTATGTTCATACTATACTATATTTTATGTTCAAATTAATGAACACAAAAATACTAAAAATTAAAAGTATGAAATCATATCAACAAAAATATTAATTTAATTACGTTTATAAACGCATATTATCCTAAACCTACATAAACGAGCTTTAACCTACGAACTACATTAGTAAATAATATTTCTCTAAGGCCGTTTTGATCTCGTAATGCCCACTGGGCCCTTACTAACGAGTCAAAGAAACATTTTCTTTTATCTTTAAGTTCTTAAATCGCAACTTGGGCAGACAAGTCTTGTGGGTAAAATAAAACATACTATTTTAAGCCAGCAGTTTTTTTTATCAAATACAATATATTGTTAGCGGACTAACGCCATTTTGTAGCAGAAACCTATATAAAGCGTGGCAACACCGGCGTTGACTCACTTTTATCTCGAGACTTCGTGCGGAACGGACTTGTTACTAACCTAACCTCAGTAGATTTTAAAAGTCTGAAGTACCTACACGTTCTAATCTTTTGTGTTTCCTAATATCAGAATTGGGATTTGAACTTTTCGCTCACTTCTCTTTTGTTTTGTTTTGAGTAATCTTTGTGGTTTAAATTTTCCTTCTCTTTGTGTCCGTAATGTACGAAGTCACAAGTGATTAACATTTTAAAAGTGCTCTTTGTGTTAAAATGTTGTTTGTGTTTGTGAGTGCAACAGTGTCACATTAAATTCGGGATCGTCTAGTCAGCAAGGTAGACGAGAGATGCTTTGACAGAGGACGGCCGAACGGTTGAAGAACAGTCAAATCAATCAGGACACTGTCGTTAATGTGGGTCATAGACCCCCCTTGTAAATTCCAGAAGGATGATCTGGTCTTTGTTATTAAGAACATGCAAAGGTATGGGTTTCTGTTTTAAATTTTTGTGGTGCTAATGTGTTTAGACCACTTTGAGAACATACAAGTGTATGGGTCTCTGTTTTAAGTTTTTCTGGTGCTAATGTGTTTAGACCACTTAGAAAACATGCAAAATGTATGAGTCTCTGTTTTAAAAAATTGTCGCTTATGAGAGCACTAGGAGCCACTGTCGATACGACGGTGTATTGCAAATATACTGAGTTTTATCTTTATTTGTGTTAAGTCTGAAGCTATCTAATTCTGTAATATTTGCTTTTTGAAAGATCAATGGACAGGGTAACCAGTCCCAAACTCACGATCTTCCTGTATAAATTGTAAAAAGATCAATGGACAGGGTAACCAGCCCCAAACTCACGATCTTCCTGTATAAATGGTAACAAGATCAATGGACAGGGTAACCAGCCCCAAACTCACGATCTTTCTGTATTAATGGTAAAAAGATCAATGGACAGGGTAACTAGCCCCAAACTCATGATCTTCCTGTATGAATGGTAAAATGATCAATGGACAGGGTAACCAGCCTCAAACTCACGATCTTCCTTTATGAATGGTAAAAAGATCAATGGACAGGGTAACCAGCCCCAAACTCACGATCTTCTTGAGAAATAAGTAGACCTTTATACCTTATATCTACTCTTATGGTGATACTAAACTTGTGATTGTTTACACAAGTCCTTTACACATGAAAGTGCTAGTTTGTTTCAAATCTTGTAAGGGTTATGAATAATCTTTCACTCATTCCTTGGAGTCTGATACTTTAAAGTTCCTTTCTATCTTTCATTACTTTGATTGTTTGTATTAAACCAAGTAAATATGTTCAGCTGCTGACCAAATAGACGACGCAATACCTTCCCAGAACTGTAATGTTCTAACGTTCTATTCTACCCACAGAGATGACAGTATAGACGCTGGGACATCAAATCCTGACGAGGACGTCAGGGTGTCAGGAGAGGCCGTGTTAGCGGACTAACGCCATTTTGTAGCAGAAACCTATATAAAGCGTGGCAACACCGGCGTTGACTCACTTTTATCTCGAGACTTCGTGCGGAACGGACTTGTTACTAACCTAACCTCAGTAGATTTTAAAAGTCTGAAGTACCTACACGTTCTAATCTTTTGTGTTTCCTAATATATATTAATAAACCCGTGGCCCTAAAAACCTTTATGCTGGCCTCAGATTGCATATATTTCTTTAATACTTTTCTTTCTATTATAGATAGGCTATCAGCATTCTGTGGCTGATATTTTAATTACAAAGTGGGATTTGGGAACCCTTTTATATATTATACCCTCTTCTATAACAAAGTTAACATAACAATATTGAAAATTTTAAAACTGTTTACAACAATTTCTTATCTTTACTATTTTTTAACAAACAACATTACGAGTGCATAAGGTAGTGTGTGTATATCAGTGAGTGTAAAGTGTATGGATCAACCACATGTTAGGTCTCAGTAGCATCTCCAACTTTGCATAAGGTGTGTTCAGAGGCCAGTCCTTTAACAGTTTGTTTTTATTGTGGACGGTCAGCGGGTATATAGTCAGCCTGCATATTGAGTCTGGCGAAGTCATTCCTCACTGTCTGACCGACGACTTCATCCCTATTTATTTTTAAAAGCAGCTTAGCATCTCTTTTTTGGTCTTCCCACGTTTATTTTTCCTTTAGGGGCGTAACGGGTGGCTTCTTTTATCTGTGTACCTTGCAATATGGGCCGCCCATTTCCATATCAGCCGTTAAACGTGGGATAGCGCGTCGGTGATATTCGTTTTTTCAAATGGAACGTTCTAAAAATATAATATTTGTGCACAGAAAGTTCATGAGTACACAGCTGCAGATTGACCCTGCGACCTCTGGGATAAGGCTTGCACGCTATAGTTGCTGACACTGCTTGAATAGGCCTTACGCAAGTATCTAATATCGAAAAAAAGTTATGTTTTATAAACACTACGTATTAAAACACGTTTAATTACCACTGCAATTTCCGACGGTTCTAGTTATACTAATTTAAAGTTTTGATAAGCAACCCCAAGTAAAACATTAATTATTCAGTCCTCGTAGTAATTAAACAAATTGGGAAATCTGTTAAACCAAATCGCCACAATCACTCTATACCACTACGTACGTTTAATTAGTTGGTGTAAATTTTCGGATTAAGCACTAAATTCTCGGTATAAACATGTACGGGACGTTTTGTTTGTGTTTCCGTATTATGCAACCAAGACTTTTTAGTAATGGTAATCAACTACGACCAATGTAGAAACTGCGCGTTTGGTCTATTTTAGCTACTTTCACAGCATAATGTCTTACGGCATTTTACTGTGGGGTCGGGCTGCTGACATATAATCCATTTTTATTTTGCAAAAGAGAGCGGTCAGAGCCATTTATAATCTACGTCGTTGCGAATCTCTCAGGGAACTATTTAAAAAGATTAATATTATGACAGTACCTTGCCAATTCATTTATGAAAATATTATGTATGTAAGAAAGAATCTACATCTTTTTAGTAAAATAAATGAAAGACATAATTTTAGTACTAGAAATAAAGATAAAATAGCTCAACCATCTTTCAGATTAGCCAAAGTTCAAAATTCATTTATGGGGTACTGTGTGAAATGTTACAATAAAATACCTTGTGACATTTTAAAACTAAATGAACGAAAATTTAAATGTTTTATTAAAAGTACACTTTGTAAACAAGCATATTACAAATTAGATGATTATATTCAAGATAAGAATGCTTGGAAACATGCTGGTCCTGCTCCATAGGACAATCCTATGATTGGCTCTATAGCCTGGACAAAATCAAATTGGTTGCTGATTTTTTGCTAAAAAAAAATATGTTAATTTTTGTTATTATTTTTTTTTTTTTTAAATTTATATAATGCTACAAATGTAATTATTTTTTTTGTATCTCACACACTGTTTTGTTGTGTTTTTTTTAATATTTTTATTACTCTTTAATGTTAATATTCTAAGGTTTCGATATTTGTAAATATGTGAGGAACATGTATACTAACTTTTTTAGTATAGTAGTTTATTCTAAGAGTACATTGTCTTCACATATAATTATTTAACAAATGTAACAAAATATTGTAAACCTATTTTAAAAGAGTAAGTGTGGAGTTTCTTGCCCATTCTTCTCCACACGAAACTACCTTTTGGAAGGGGCAACTAGAATCATCTTTATATTTTATTTTTTGACGTTCAAAAGTGCCATTTTAGATGGTCTAATTGAAATAAACGATTTGACTTTGACTTTGACTTTGACTGGCCGTACAGGAGACAAATACGGGAGGTTCAATACTCAACCGTGTGCGTTGAGACACAAGAACGGTCAGTTATCTCTATATATATATAGATATGTTTTTCACAATGGTTCTTCAAGTCTACAGAATAAGCTATTTAAAAAAAACACGATAGATTCAATCAGCACCTTGAAAAGGCTCTCTTAAAACAGTCTTTAATTATAGTTACAGAAAATATACTATTATAATTAATCTATAAGCAGTTCAAACAAGTTTTGATGCTTAAAAAATGCGTATAAGGCTGTTGTAGTGATAAAGAAAGCTTTAATGTTACTTCTTTATAAAATACTAAATAAATATAGACTTTAAGAGAACTTCGTGTATGGAACTTATAAGTACAAACATTTGTATTCGTGAACGAAATTTACAGAAAAAATTGTTTTCTATCAGAAACTGTTATTGTCGCAACAAAGTTTAAGATTGAAAAATACCAAAGAGTTTATGCAAGTTGTTAAAATGTTATACCGATACAGGTGTATACAAGCTCTAAAGCTCACCTTCAGTATAGCAAATTGGCACCAAGTATGCTATGAAATAGGTAATTGTTTATTTTGAAATTTTGTGATTTTCTTTATTTATATAATAAAGTCGAATATGTATGTCGATTAAATTTATTTATCAAAAAATTACTGTAATAAAAAGTCCTTTTAAATTTTCATGGTAATCTCAAATACAAATAATTTATACTGTAACAAAGGAGAGTACATACAAAAACCTACCTACCTACCTACCTAATTCTAAATAATTCTAATTCTAATCCCCGATTTTTCATATTTTAGTTCCACATAATTCTTTACAATTATATATATTGAGTATGTACAAGTATATTGTATCCAGTAATATATTTATAATTTATATTTTCATGGAATTGGGTAATCGGAATAGGCTTGGAATAGGTACTGGTCACAAAAACAAGTTCAAAAAGGAAACTACAGCCTAGATCTAAAAAATACTGTTATGGATACTAGCATCCCATGTCTGGTCTGCCAACCCTGGACGTTTACGTAAAGATTGAAGTCGAAGGTGACTAGTGCCCAGAGAACAATGGAGCGGAGCATCCTAAAAATAAAAAAGATCCAGAAAATTCGAAGAAACCAGGGCAAAAACGAAGATCACCCACGCTTAACAGCTAATATGGAAGTGGGCGGACTATATTGCAAGGTACACAGATAAAAGATAGACCGCCGAAGCCACCCGTTGGGGCATCTTGAGGAAAAAGAAACGTGGGAAGACCACAAAAGTAATGGGCTGGCGACTTAGCGCGGTGGCGGTTTCTGGGGAGAATTGAATGGAGGGAGCTATCAACAGATCCATATGGAAAGTTCAGGAGGAGGCCTTTACCCAGCAGGTCCATACTGCAGAACACAAAGAAACATAAATAACAATAACTTACGTGGACTAAGAATATAATAACAAAACGATCACCCATTTGATATGTATTTTATTTAAAATAAGGAATTAAAGTGGCTTTATTATTATGTAATACATATTTTCAAATGTATACTGTGGACAAAAAATATTTTTATTACATACTTCGTTTCTCATGTTTTTCTTTGCCTTCACAAGATCGGCTTATCCTTTATAGAATAACGTCACTGTTAAAAGCCTTGTAACATTTATTATAGTCGTAAAGCTTTATCCATATTATTGTTGTTGTGGATTCAATCTCACCCCGATTAGTAAACAACGTTAATTTTATGATAGAGAATACTCAGCGATTAGAGATAGAACATTAAGAATAAGAATAACACCCCAGAGCCGGGGGCATGAAAGAACTACCCCAGGCGGTTGAATAGCTCACCTAGTCTCACCTAATAGCAGGACTTCTAGTGTGGCTTATGCCTTTACAGGCTTGCTTCTTCAAAGCCTCGGCTAAAACATTTAATTGCAAAGCATTAATAATATATGTCGGAGTAATGGCGCTGGTATCAGCTGCCATTTTCATTATAATTTATTAACATCAAAGTCTAATTAGTTCAAAACCGTTAATACGCCCTCGGTTCGACGTCGACCGCTCAATCGACTCGAATTGAAAAAATATTTAGCAACGCGAATTTATTATAAACAAGTTTCAGGACATTTCGTGTACTCGTTCCACGACCGAATCCGAATCTGCTACAGAGTCAAACAGCAGTCATAGGAAACTGTGTCAAGATTACTTTAATATTTATTATCAATAAGTTTAAAATGTTTAAAGTTATGATAAATTACTTTTAATACTAACAATAATAACTATGGAGTAAGGACAAATAAAATAAAGCATTCGTATTAACGGTTTTGAACTAATTTGACTTTGATGTTATCAAATTATAATGAAAATGGCAGCTGGTACCAGCGCCATTGCTCCAATCTATACAAAAAATATGATTTACTACGTTTATTGTGACTATTAATATATAGTAACTACTATTAGTAATTAAATGTCAACCGCTAATGCACAATTTTAATTTAAAAAATGTGAAATTGTAAACCTTTTGTTTTAAATACGTTTTATCCGTAAACGAGATGAGAGAAAAGAGATACAAATATTACATTTTTGTTATCATTCAATAAGATTTTATCTCCGAAAGCCTGCGAGGGCTCCATCTACCCATGAAATTACAAAGGATTCTGCATGTTATCTTTCAATTTACGACATTAAGGAAATAAAAAGGGAATTTTATAATATTTTAACGTCATGTTATACAATATTCATAAAATCGTAATCAGTCTAATCACAATTGTATAGTTATCATTGTTCATGTTGTCATTGATGTCTTCCTGTCAAATTCTATTTCTTATGGTATGAAAAGAGTAGGAATCAATCGTCTACGCATTATAATTACAGGCAAAATTCGATTTTCAAATTCCAAATAGGCTTCAAACAGCCTGTGTTCTAATTTCAAAAGTTAAAAGCAGCTGTCAAAGGCGATTCTCCTAAGAAAAAACGTCAGATTTGCTACCACAACCTTGAATATAGAACTCGGGCATTATTGTTATCACACAAAGTGGTAATAAATATGCGGCTTTAGGAAGCTATTACAATACTTTACGCAATTTATTTCGCACGTTTGCCAAATCTACCTTATGGGCCAAAAGCAATCGTGAGGAAAGCTTGATAAAGCTGAAATGTAGCTTCAGATCCAATTATTTATAATGTGGATTTTTAGAAAATCTAAAACTCCGATTTAAATTATTATTTTACATTTCAATTACCACTAATCAAAATACAGTAACACGTATTTACTTGTTAATTATAAGATTGACGTACTAAAATACCCTAGGTTTCATATTTAAAGAGGATACCTAATTTTAGTCTGATAGATAGATGAGATTTTTGTATAAGAATTTGGTATGTAAAATTTCTATCTTTCCATTTAGTTTTAATTTTATTACAATCGACATTTTTAACTAAAATACTGATGAAAATCCAACTTTATTTGTTATATTTCGTTAATATTACGCAGGTATTAAATATAATACCAATCTGTACTGTAATCTAAAGCAATTTTGGAGCACTGCATACTGTAGAATCCTCGAAAGTGATCAAACATATCTGTGTCCGTTTCTATTATCATGATAGGTATGAGTTTAAATATGATTAATTTTGGTGCCTGCTTTTTTTATGTAACAAGAGGCAAACGGACACCTGATGTTAAGTGCTACCGCCGCCCATGGACACTCACATTGCCAGAAGGCTCGCAAGGGCTTTTTAAGTATTGGTACGCTATGTTCTTGAAAAACCCTAAGTCAAATTGGTTCGAAAATACTTCAGTGGGCAGCTGGTTTCACATAGTGGTGGTGCGCGGCAAAAACTGCCTTAAGAAACACTCAGTTGTGGAACGACGGACGTTCAGGTGATACCGACGGTATTTTGTATTCTACCTTGACGTCCGATGGTGAGACTCAGCTGCAGGTATTAGTCCGAACAACTCCTCTGAACACTGTCCATGGTAAATGCGGTAGAAGAGCCCAAGACCCCACATCTCTACGCAACTCCAAGGGATCAAGCCGCAAGGAAATCGATAACAAAAACAATCATTGTTTCATCTACAAGCCACAATATTTTTTGCTTGAATATCAAAAGAATACGTATATATATTATGGAGATTCTTTTGTTTCATACATAAGTAAAAGTCAACATCTATTGATAGTTTTATTAATCAATAAAACCCTAGGAGAGTTCTTTGTCTAATTCTTAGTTCGAATATTTGCGCAGTACATCGAACAAAATCACTTGGGACCTATAGGAATTTTCCCTAAAGACATAAACCTGACGAAGGTTATATTAGTTTATAGAGGCAATAAATTTCACTCACTAGGGAAATAATGGAATCGATTTTATTATTTACAAATACAAGGGCGCCGCCATTCCATGGGCGATGCTTGGTAAAACATAGGTTCTTAACACAATAATAACAATTAAATTGTCAAAATTTGATGTTGTGTATGTGTATGAGAATGGAAAAAATCCAATATAAAATGTAACGTTCTAGAACAGTGTTTTCAACAGGGCAATTTGATTTGGGGGCTTTTCATTAATGTTTCTCATTAATGTTTTAAAATCTTCTTATAGTGTTTCGTAAACAATTTCCAAGTAAATAACATCAAACCTATCATTTAATTTTCTTAAATTAATTTCTAAATTTAATTTTCTTAGCAATTCTATTTTAGATCCCCCTGAAAGGCTTAGGTGGGGCATGGCACAAAATAGGTTCGGAAACACTGTTCTAGGTGTCAGAAGAGATAAAGTTCTTTATTTGTGAGTTGGTCATGCACTAATAGTGCAAGTATAGTGTTTGTATAGTAAGTATATAGTGTTTTGAAATAAATAAATGTTCACACGCCAAATTAAAATAATGACCATTCATCAGACCATTCTTCATAGTCTCACGACGTATTTGTTACAAAAAATATTATTTAGACGTTTCTCGTGTAGTTCCTGAACTGAGGTGTCGAGAGCTAATATACCTGACTGTCATACAATTCTCATTAGCTCTATTATGAGTTCATCTATATTGCCATATCAATATTCATTTGTTTCGTATACATGGTGCTTGAGATTGTAACTTAGAAACTGTGTGTATATGCATGTTTATGCCCTCTGGGAATAATATGCCTAGAAACTGCCGAGTTAAATTTTTTACTTAATTTTCAGAATTAAAGTATAACCGCTAAGTTTGGACAATTAACAGTAGCTGGGTTCAACATGTAAACTGAATTCAATTAAATGGAAATCTCACAAATGGTTTTTTTTAAAGTATAGGTATATATATGTTACGGGTAATGCTAGAAGGTGGAGTAAACCTAGGTTTACTCGGGTTGACTTAGTATTACCCAAGCTTCTTGGGTAAAGTCCGAATAATAAGTAAAATAAATTTAAATTCGGGGTTTACCCATGCTCTACTCAACCCAACCTAGGTCTACCCAACTCTGGCTGGGTAATGTTAAAAATTTGTCTAATTAATTAGTGAAATGAAAATCCAAGGCCATTTTAAACATTTATTATCTGAAAAACATACAAACATAAAAATTATTTATTTGAGCAAGATAAACTGCTGTGACATTTTGAGTTGCATAATTTTCCTGCAGCTTTGCATGAACACTTCTTTGTGGCACATTTTGTTTTGCAATTACACCTTTTATAACCCTGGCCTCCTGATAGCGACTGTTCATTTGCAAGCTCTCGTAAACTTTTTTTTTCTGGTGATATATTTTCGATATCAATCAGTTTATCATGACACACAGAAAACTGATTCCTTGAGAACATTTCCTCAATAGTACCACGTTCGTTTCCTAGCCTATACAGATCACCAGCTTTTTCTATAACTACCATAAGCACGTTCCGAAACTCGCCTCTTCCTCTATCGACATCTGGTATTTGGACTCTCACCGTATCTCCAACAGAACATGGAGGAAATTTTAAATTAGATAAGGCTTTCATTTTCTTAGCTTGATTTTCTAAGCTCAATCGGGCAGATAATCTATGTTTATTTATATTTTGTTGAGTAGTACAAATTTCACATAAGTTTATTTCTTGTGTACTTGTGCCTGGGTTCATACATCTACTACACTCTAATTCGTCTTTCTTTTTGGCCGTTTCTTCTGAATTTATTTCTAATAAAACGTTCCTTTCACCTTCTTTTGTATTTAAAACTTCTGTTTCGATATCGCTTCTCATCTCCGTGTTCTGTAAGTGGTAATTCTCTGATTCCAGCTCTACATTTAGTAAATCTTCTTGAGATTCTTGTCTAGATTCCGGTCCTTCTTCTTGGGATTCTGGACTAGATTCTGCTTCGGTAGTAAATTCCGTCAACATTTTCTCGAGCTCTTCCTCAGTGTGAATATTGACAATAACTTCTTTTGGAAGAGAAGACGACGCTAAACCCACCTTGACATCACTACCGAACATGGCGGTATAAGGAGCTCGTTTTATTCCATCGTGGAATGCCCTATTTTTCATTAATTGTACGAACTTCAAACCTTCTGACCAACGCTTACAATTTTCGTCGTTCATCCACGTCATAAGCATATTTTGTACGTCTTGATTTGCTCTTTCCACACTACCTTGAGACTGACTATGGCGAGGTTTGCCATGTACTATCTTCAGACCGCTCCACATCGAGCACAACTCTTCTATTACGTGATTTGCAAACTCGCGGCCATTGTCTGATTGAAGAATTGAAGGTGCGCCAAAAATACAAAATATGTCCAAAAGCTTATAAGCAACTTCTACGGCTCGTTTAGATGTTAACGCGCGCAGCTGTACAAACTTTGTCAAATGATCTTGATAGACCATTATGAATTTGAAGTCGCCGTCAGGGTTAGACTGCATGTCAATTAAATCTACTTGACAGCGACTATTCATTTCTGTTGACACCAATGGTTTGACAACAATTCCTTTTTTAGCAGACTTTAACTTTTTTTTGGCATGGTTCGCATAGTCGTAAATATAATTTG